AGAGGAGAGGAGAGGAGAGGAGAGGAGAGGAGAGGAGAGCTGGTTGCCCTCTTGGCCTGCCCCACACCAAAGAGGGATAGCCAAGAGTAGATCCCTCCAAACCCAAGCCCCCCTCTGGCCAAAGCCACCGTTACCTTCTCCCACCCTCGGTGACGGCGACGGCGACGCCGAAGCTGCCGAGCGCCGCGGGGTCGAGTGCACAGATCCAGGTGCCCCCACGTGGAAAACCTCCTCAGCAGCAGCTCCAGCAGGGCTCTGGGACACCCCAAACAAATCATTCAGCAGGTCAGAGTTAGAGGGGGCAGCGCTGGGCTGCGAGGGAAAGCTCTTGCTCATGGGGCTGCCATCCAGGCCCAGCAGGTCCACGTCTTCAGGGGGAGGTGCTGCTGCTGCTGCTGCTGCTGCTGCTGGAGGCTCTTGCTGCTTTTTGCTGTGTTTGGGTGTCCCGTGGGGCTTGTCACCGCTGGCATTACTGTGCTGACTGGAAAGGGACAAGAGTTCGTCATCTGACTGTTCGCTTTCCTCATGCACCAACGCTGCTCGATCCTCTGAGGTGGGGTGAGAGCTACTTTTGTCAGATTTCTGATCTAAACGATGATTGGAAATAAAATTAGGCAGCTGTTAGTTTGGTCATCACAAAGGTCCCGTAAAAATCAGCTTACAAGCAGAACAGAAAGCTGAGAATAGCACAGCAGCATTTGGATAAAATAATTTTGTTTTTTTAAAATAAGAGCTGGCAAATTTCTTCCCCAAAAGGGTTTTTCAGCCCTGCCACAGTTGGGGTCCCCATCCATGGAGGATGTGGCACTTGGGGACATGGTCAGTGGTGGCCTTGGCAGTGTTGGGGAATGGTTGGACTTGATGACCTTAGAGATCTTTTCCAACCTAAATGATGCCATAATTCCTTTGCCAAAACCTAAATTTTTATCATCAAGGTTTATTTATTTCAAGTTTTAACACGAAGGAGGCCTTGGGTGAAGGTTCCCCCTAGAACTGTGCCCATGATGGTCCCACAGAGCACAGTTTGAGGAGGATGTTGTAGGAAAGGAATTCCCACTCCACTGCAAAATCGGGGTGTGATCAGCTCTAACAGCAAAGCTGTGCTGCAGTGAGATCCCTCAGCCCCACTCCCTGCTCCAGGCAGGGGAACAGGAATTCTTTGTGTTCTCTGGAGCAGATTTGGCTCTGAAGATCAAACCTTGCCTACCTTGCCAGCTGAGAGAGGAGAAGAATGCACTCTGCCCAACATTCCTGATGTTATCCTGGGGGGAATCTGTGACACCTCTACCTGCAGCACAGAGCACCAGAGAGGTGGAGTTAAACAAAACCCAGCTCAGCATGAAGAAATCATGGGAAGGGAATAAATCCATGCAGCCCTTACCTGCCAAAGCAAGAGTGTCCTGGTGCTCCTGGTGGGAGGAGAAGAGAATGGAGGGATTGATATCTTTTGTGGTGAAATTCTCCCATGGGGGAGTTAATTCAGTTTGTCTGTCTGCAGACTGTATTTCTATGTCCAGTATAACATGAAAGAGCTGAGGATATTTGTCTGGAGAGTCACAAGCATCCAGCTCAGGCCTAAAGGGGACAAGAGTGGTCCAGTTTAAAAGGGAAGAATATTTCTGGAAAGCTATAAAAAATAGCTTTCACTATATTCAGACTTTTCATATTTCATCTGTGACAGTTCTCTCTCAGCTTTCATCAGGCTTTTATGCATCAGGTTTGATTAATGTTCAGCTTCAAACACTCACTTGGTGAATTTGAGAGTGGTTGTTCCTAGGGCTATGAATCCAGTATGAAATTGAATTTGGAATATTTGTGTGTTGGTCATCTGAAAAGAAAAAAAAAAAAAAACAGAGAGAACCAGACTGAACAAGGGCTTAAATACAGGAGTTTGTTAAGCCTACCCTAATCTTAGCTGCTGCATAACAGAATTCACTGTGCTTGTTCTACAGGCAATATTTCCTTCTCAATATTCCTAAATATTCCAAATATTTCCATCTGCCTTCAACCCTGCTGTTGCAGCCTCTGTACAGCACAAGACCTTCAGGAATAATTTTGAGGTGAATTTCGGTGAATTTTGAGGTGAATTTTGGCCATTTTGGGGGCTAGTTTTGGGATAATTTTGAGGTGAATTTGATTGAATTTTGAGGTGAATTTTGGGTGAATTTTGGCCATTTGGGGGGATAATTTTTGAATATTTTTGAGGTGACTTTGAGTGAATTTTGAGGAGAATTTTTGGTGAATTTTTGGTAAATTTTGGCTGGTTTGGGGGATAATTTTGAGGTGAATTTTGGGTGAATTTTGACTGGTTTTGGGGATAATTTTTGGATAATTTTGAGGTGAATTGGTGAAATATGGGTCAATTTTGAGGTGAATTTTGGGTGAATTTTGGAATAGACCTTCTCTCCCTGCTTCTCTTTACTTCTGGGATCTACTTATCAGTTTTGCAATGAAATTAAGCACTGAATACATTGGAGCAATAGCTTTGTGTCCCAAAAAAACATGAAACCATTTCACTTGGAGTAGAAGCCACTGGGAAATATCATCTACACAGCAAAGTGCACCAATAATGAATAGAGAGGAGCACAACATTCACTGCCCACTCTGCAAGGTGAATATTTGAGTTTCAATTCTATAATATATATAATATTCTCAGGGAAATGCTGGAGATTCCCTGTTTAGGCAACTCTTAGTTCCCCACGTGGCTCCAAAGAGAAGTGAAAGCAGCTCCTACTTTGGCTTGGAGGCGTCCCCCGATGGTGGATCTCATGTGGTAGACAGAGACAACGACATCTCCGTGGACAGTGGCTCCCAGGGGGATCAGGACCTTCCCTTCCTGCACACGGTATTCTCTTGGAGAGGAACAGGAGGAAAGCCACGGTTAAGCTCCCTTCTGCCACATCAAAGGCCAAGCAAGGAGGAGTATTCAGTGTTCTGCTTGCTTAAAATAAAAATATTCCACAGGGGGAAGCAACAGAGCACTGGATGGTCTCTAGGAAGGTGTTCTGCTTCCTGCCAGCCTCACATCCTGGTGTCTGTGCACTTATCCCACTCCTGACAAACTCAGATCCTGGTGTCTGTGCACTTATCCCACTCCTGACAAACTCAGATCCTGGCCTCTGTGAACTTATCCCACTCCTGACAAACTCAGATCCTGGTGTTTGTGCAGTTATCCCATTCCTGAAAACCTCAGATCCTGATGTCTGTGCAGTTATCCCATTCCTGACAAACTCAGATCCTGGTCTCTGTGCACTTATCCCATTCCTGAAAACCTCAGATCCTGGTGTTTGTGCAGCTATCCCATTCCTAACAACCTCAGATCCTGGCTTCTGTGCACTTACCCCATTCCTGAAAACCTCAGATCCTGGTGTCTGTGCACTTATCCCATTCCTGAAAACCTCAGATCCTGGTGTCTGTGCACTTATCCCATTCATGAAAACCTCACATCCTGATGTCTGTGCACTTATCCCATTCCTGACAAACTCAGATCCCAATGTCTGTGCAGTTATCCCACTCCTCACATCCTGATGTCTGTACACTTATCCCATTCTTGCCAAACTCAGACTCCCTCTGGCCATTTATCAACCCCAGCCACAAACTCTCAGCGAATATCCTCATTTATCAGCATCTGGGCAGTGACTGCAGTTCAGATATTCCAAGCCAAGTACAAGTGGCTGCCTGCAGCCCCTGAGGAAGGCGGGGGGGGTGCCAGGAACTCACTTCATCCTCTCATACTCCTGGGAGGTGCTCAGGATCCTGGTCTCCCCGCTGAGGATGTCACAGAAGGGCCGGCAGCCGTTGCGCTGCTTGTTGAAGCAGGGCACGGGGCTGAGGGTCACCGACTTGATGGTGAGTGGTTTGCAGTGGGGGATGACAGGTTTGTCTGCTATTAGGTCACAGATGTATCCTATGTACCTGCAGGCAGAGAAAACCAGGGCTGGAATCTCCATTTCTTTCATTTCATACTCAAAATCTGCCTGGAAATCCAGTGGTGGTGCCATTCTTTGAGAGGACCAGGACTGGAGTCTCCACGTGCTCCAATATCCCAGCAGCTGGCACAGAATCTGCACTTCCAGCTCGGATTCTGGGAGGATGCAGCTGGCACAGAGAGGGATGCACCAAGGCCCTGTTAACCACAGGTTCAGGTTGGGTTAGAAGGACCTTTGGTTGTCATCTGATTCCATCCTGTGCAGTGAGCAGAGACATCTCAAATAATGGAATAATTGGGTTGGAAAGACCTTTAGCAATTATCTAATCCCACCCTGTGCAGTGAGCAGAGAC